CAAGCATTCGTATTATATTTTATATTTTGACATATAAACTTTAATATACATGTTCAATACGACTTCTCTAAACCCAGTCCTGTTTTACAGCTAAAAATACATAAAAGAAATACTTTTATACATCAAACTCTATCGTTATATGTAAACCAAGGTGCGGGAGCTAATTTTTATATATTTCATTGATGAATCCGGACAAGAACGGAGGTATCTGCTTAACAAAAAGAAACATAATTTCAACTTATACTCAATTGTACATATGACTGAAACTCCAAGTCTCTGACTTATGAAAAGATATACAGTATATACTACAGTATATATTAGAGGAGTTATGTGTGTATAACAAAATGTTGAGAGTATGTTCCACGTTATGTGTATCGCTCGCCCCTCCCTTTACTTTCTAACCTGACGCTGCTCGACCTAGGCTACCACAACTTTCTTTGATCCCCGCTCCATGGACCGGTTAGAATGTATTCAGACTACGCCGAGCTAGCTCTCACACATAGTAAATAACTTGTCGTTGCTCAGTCTTCTGTAACTTACAATACAGTTGGTTATATAGGATGTTAGCATGAACTATGACGGCTTTTTAGCTAAAAGATTGTCTTTAATTTCTCTCCCTATATTATTTTTTTTAAAACTATTCTAGTCAGTGGTGGCCTAATAGTTAGAGGGCCCGCCTCTCGTTGCCGAGGGCGGGTTCGATCCTGGCCCGGGCAAGTACTAATGTGATTTTTCGAGTCATATGTACTTTCTAAGAATATTTAGACATCACTGATTAATGCTGATTCCCAAAAGAGGGTTGATGTCAGGCAGGCGGCCGGTCGTAAAAGCAATTAGCCAAAAACTATTCACAACATAACATGTAAGGCAGACCCTGGCTATAGCCGGGAAATTGCCAGTTAGAAGATTATTTTTAAACTATTCGTGCCGCTCATACGCCGTAACAGACAGATAAACATACGTTAAATTTCCGTAATCATAACACTGGTGGTATTATTAAATAGCATTACAATGTATATACCAGTTTATAAACTACCGTACACCAATTCACTACATCAGCGGAGGTGGTCAACGGCCTGTGAAAGTTACCTTTCAGATTGTTTGCCAATACAGTGAATCAATTCCTTTAAATATAATCATGTTGAATAACTATGATATTTATTATATAATCTATAGTACAGTATGAAGACCATACAAATAAAATCATGTAGAGATCAGTATTGAATTCTGTTATGATACACTAGCTTTCCGCCCGCAGCTTCGCCCTCGTGGAGTTCGGTTTTATCGCGCTTCCAAGAGAACCTTTCAAAAGTCTGGGATAAAAACTATCCTATGTTCTTTCTCAAGGTCAACTCTATCTATACCAAATTTCATTAAAATCAGTTCAGCGGTTTAAGCGTGAAAGCGTAACAGACAGACAGACAGAGTTACTTTCGCATTTATAATATTAGTAGGGAAAAACATGTAACATGATGACTTAAACATTATAAAATGTTGCTTTGTAATCAATTAAAAATGTTTCCGTTTGTTAGCAGAATTTAATGCATTGTTTGTAAATCACGCTCACGTTTTGTGTCTCATTACCGTTATATAATACTTATAATTGTATTATGTACGTGTGACGTTCGCTGTTTACGATGCTTGTATTAAAAATACGATTTATAAATAAATTATTGCGCGCATCACAATACGACGCTGTCACTGTCCAACTAAAAATATAACTAAACTCTTGGCAGTACATAATACAGTGTTAACTGGTTGATGTATAGCCAACTATTCATTGATTATATATATAATAAAGAATTTATTTTTATTTAAATGAAACTTACAATTTTTGGATGTACTACGTGATTTTATTTTTACTAAAAACTACATACTACCGACGTTTCGGCTCCTTTACAGCAACCGTGATCACGGACATCCGATAAATATTAGTGTCATTTAAATCAATAAGACTCGCGAAAATCTTGAATCTCATTAATTTATGTTTATAGTAATAAATAGCTTTTAAATAGGTTATAAGTAAGTCTTTTAACTGGAAGTCATCTATATAGAAGTGTTGTATAATGTGAAAGTTTATTTCGTATAATAAGTTATGAAGTTTCGTTCGTCCGTCAGCCGGTGTGATGTTCTCATGTAACCGTCAGCCGACCTCCGTGAAGGCCGTGCCCGTCTTTTATTGATTTTTTTTATGCGCATTGTCCATACCGTAGGTACCTATCCCGCCCCCAACTACTCTGTCGCTAACTCAATCGATGTATTAGTTTTTGTTATTAATACTCGATATTCACTCTATTCGAGTCCTGAGTAAATGACTTAGACTAAAGTCTGATCTCCAATATATTAGTATAAGTTATAAAGTACTAGCTTTCGCGCGCGTGGAGTTCGGTTATATCGCGTTTCTAAGAGAACCTTTCAAAAGTGTAAGATAAAAACTATCCTATGTTCTTTCTCAAGCTCAACTCTATGTCTGTACCAAATGTCATTAAAACCAGTTCAGTGGTTTAGACGTGAAAGCGTAACAGACAGACAGACAGAGTTATTTCGCATTTATAATATTAGTAGGGATATTAGTCTTGTATCATAATACTATTTACTTACAAATTGTTTTGCAACTTGTTAGTTTGTTTTTGCCCATCGGTGTTAGTTACTCATGAGATGTGGTCGTTCAAGGCTCGTCTGAATTTTGAAACATTCCCCTGTTTGTAATACAAGCCTCTTAATGAATATTGAAGTTATTTAATAAGGCTGTTTTACAAGTGCCCGATGAGAGAGTCAAATATCACTTTATCCAAAGATTTTGGATCGTATTGATCTAAAACTAATATATATTAATTATTACGTGACTTTATCACACTCTCAAATTTGATATCCAGTACATTTTATAAGTAGTTATATACTTATATTTTGATGAATTACACTTAAATTTATCTCTACTTCCCGTGAATACATTTATTGCGAAGTAATCGAAAACGTCGGATGAATTGTAGAATATATTACAACCTAACTTCAAATAATAATATTATTGGATTATTATATGTAATAATTGTAATTTTTTATTTACAATTGATACTGTATTGGGAAATATCAATACAAAAAGTTTATTTCGACAAAAAAATCCTATCATTAGACATGTCTACCAAATGTATTTAGTTATGGGTCATTAACCTCTATAGTATACATATCCATACACGTATACAACACATATATATGTCATATATTTTACGGACGTTAGTATTGACGTATGTTTGTATGTAACGTTACAGTTTATAATTAAAATGATTATGTTGGGGAAATAAGTGGACATTAGAACGAAATACAGTTAATTGGAACATCTACTGTGATTGTATTTATTTTACATGATTTAAAAAGTAGTACATACTTATAACTTAATATAAAACAAACAAAACAATAGAAATCTTAAGTGAAGTAATTAGTAAGATTTGTAAAGAGTGTTTCCATCTTCCACTTCCTTAATTACACTGAGAGTAATTTATATCATATAACCTAATTAATCCGAAGTAATTTATTAAGATGACAATGGAAAATTTATTTGAAAGTATTTAACTATCATTCTAAGTATGGCATAAATAAAATTTTGTAAGTAATCATAACTTTGTAAGCCACAAAAATATAACAATCCATGTAGTACTATTATTATTACTTTTGTATATACAAGCAAATTATGTTTTAAATTATATTTATTTCTTACTTATATTATCAGCAAAAAAAATGAATATGTCGTTTTAGTTAGCAAACATCGTCATCTCTTAATTGTCTTTGCTAAATGAGTTGATAGAAACTTAGCGGCGCACGAGAATGCACTTAAAGCAGGTTATCTTGCAACAACATTTTTTTTTCTCATATATACAATGTTAGCTCCGGATCCGAGTATATTGTTGCTAGATCCGGTTTAAGTTTAATGTGGTTGAAACTGTATTTAATTTTCTTATAATAAACTTTAAAGTATAATTTAACTTTTCTTTCTTGTTGCAGTTTACAAGAGGAGCCGCAAGCGGTGTATATATTAAGAAACAGTAAGTATTTTTAATTATTTCAAATACACTCGATATATAGAAATACATTTGTGTTTACAATAGACCGTGATCCCTAAATGATACATCGCTCACAGTACGACTTGTACCTTACAGAATACTATACATGAAGGATATATCCCACCACAAATCATCACTAGAACAACTTTGAAAGCGACCACCCGACCGGGGCGAACTGCAACCCTTCGTCTTACAGACCCCCTATACACACACATACACACACTCGCATACACACACACACACACGATTTGATATATCCTAACAAATAAATCTTCATAGTTGCTAGTTGGGGACGTTTCAAGTTTGTTGTATAATATCCTTTATAATTTATCTTATCTGTTAATAATAGTTTAGGTATCGCCTTGAAGCAAACTATCCACTTGGGAATATATTTTATATTATACAAAATTTTTAAGTCATCTTTAGGAATAAGTTATTATTTGCATATTAATGCTTTCACTGTTCTAATGTTTCTAGGCTCTAGCAATCATTTGTATTGTAATTGCAAATTTTTATCGCTTATTCGTTACTTAAAATGTATGTATTTGATATACGACGTGTATGTGTATATGTGTGTTTTTCGAACGGAAGAAGCATCCATCAGTGTCTCTAAAAGTCCGTCGTATTTAATAGTCCAGTCGTATTCTCTTTGATGAGAGAGACAAAAAAACATTTTAATATTTAATGTCCTTTACTTGTGTACTATCAAGGTTAAAGTGATATCTAGACTTACATAAGTCTGTATTATATTCAGTGTTATATAATTATTGAAGTATTGTTTGTTGTAAAAACATTAATATATAAAACTAAAAATCTGCAACAGCAGCAGATATGTGTTTAAACTTTATGCCCCAACAATATAAGTCATGAAACAATAACTCCGGCACCGCTGTAACTATAGATAAAACGACTCAGTGTTACGTTTTCCGTTAGGTTTGCACATTTTTAGGAGCCCGTCCCCGGTCGGCGCGGACGGTAATTTAACACTGGCCAACCAGTTCCATACGTGATCTCCGGGAATGCCATCCGACTCGCTAATGGGTTGGAACCCCCCTCGGCCCCTCTCACCCTCCCCTCCCCTCCCGGCGACCCCTCTTCCCCCCCCGCGGACGGACCTCTAACGCGGTTTTCATGTTCTGCAGCTTGAACGCCTGCAGATTTATATATATTAAAGTCGACCCGCACGCGTATGGGATCTATTTGGCGACTGACTTTAAAAAAAGGGCTACGTTGGCTAAAATTTATAGTAGTTCACAAGTACGGCGGGTTAGAGCTCCCTCAAATACTATAATTATTAATATGGACTAGATCGTCCTATTTAATCTAGTGATTTATATATATTCACTTTGTTAACACTCCATTTAGTTCAGACCAATAGTGTCATTATATATAAAAGGAATATATATGACTATTCTAGTTATAATTCTGTAATGATTCTTTAGATAGAGCTATTCGTATTGTATTTTGTAGAGTGTTTTCAATGTAGTACAACTGTTTGATTTGAGCGACATCAAGTATCGTGACCAGGCACCATTATCGCCATCTTGTATCAATCGTGAATGATCCAATTTATTAATACAAGGTCGGACCGCGGACGTGTTTACAGCTAGCTGTGGCCTGTGGCTATCCCGACGACGATACTGTGAATGTTTAAACATATATTCAAGTAATCTATAGAAAAAATTATGAAATGTACTGAAATATTATTAAAATTGACGTCACTATATTAAGACTTGAAACTAGTAAGGAATTTTAAGCCTCTTTAAGTATTCAATAACACCTGATAAGTATAAGTATAAAGTAGAACATAGTATAATGAATGGCAAGATGTTTTGATGAGTGAAGAATCAATATACTATCACTTATGTCATTTCCAGCATAAATATATAAAACAATTAAAGTATAAAGGTAGCATGAGGGTTCTCGTTCCGTCTTCAGTTTGATACCGGAGTCGTTGTTGGTATGCCAGAGAAGATAAGGGAATACAATTTTCTGTGTGTGTGTGTGTGTGATACCTAACTCCCTAACCCATTGTAAAATCTTTTCGATTATATCATACATGTGATATTTTTAATGGACGAAAGTCGCAACAACGACACAACACACATTACTATACATTTTTACAAACACTGTTTTTATAACATATATTTGTGTTTAAAAAAGTGTAGGTATATACGACATACGCATTTTATTTTTAATTGTATTGTTTGTTTTATTTGATGTTTAGTCTTATGTCAATATTATAATTTGGTGACTGTTTTAAAGAAAGAACTTCTAATATTTTTATTTTTTAAAAAATATTGATGTAATCAATCAATAGGTTATAAAAAATACATTATATTGTACAGTATATTATTACGTTTATAATTCCAAGTGTTTGTTAAAATTATATAAATAGGTATAGATTATGCTCATGCAGATATTACGTACAATAATGGTTGTGTATTGAATGATTTACATTGTTCTCGACAATAACACGTTACAAGCATTAGGTATGTTCTATGATAAATAGATATTATTTATTTTACAAATTGTCCGACATAAAATTAATTTCTCTGTTATTTGTATGGTTTTAAAGTTGATATTTGATTGTCCTTCATCAGTTTTTTCATTTATGAAATACTAGCTTTTCGCCCGCAGCTTCGCCCGCGTGGAGTTCGGTTATATCACGTTTCCAAGAGAACTTTTTAAAAGTCTGGGATTAAAACTATCCTATGTTCTTTATCAAGGTCAACTCTATCTCTGTACCAAATTTCATTAAAATCAGTTTAGTGGTTTAGGCGTGAAAGCGTAACAGACAGACAGAGTTACTCTCGCATTTATAATATTATTAGGGATATATACAGTAATGGTAATTTTTAAATCCTCATTCTACGTATGTAAATATCAAACAATCAGTTTTTCCATACAAACGTGTGGTGTTTATTTTAAACTGTTCACACACGTAATTGTCTAGCTAAGCGCGTGTAGCGAGCGCGTTGTCCCCGGTTCACGGCTCGACGACCGTCGTTGTTACTAACCGGGTCGTAGGATTGTTGTTTGATGGGAAATGTTATAAAATATTTATTGAAATGACAGTCTGTTATTATAGAGTTATCCCGTTTTGGAGATTCATATAAATTTGTATACTATACCTATGAGAAATAAGTTGTTTAGGATTAAAAATGTATTTTTGTGTTCGCGAATCCTTGAAATGGAAGGATCTATATTCATGGTACATTTGATGGTATTTCACTATCACATAGCTTAGGTAAGAGCAAGTAGGACCTTTTTGCTATCAGAGACTTATTTTGGTTTATATGAAAGTAATTATAATCTGCACAAACGTAGTAGGGAGCGTAACTTAGTATGTACATAGGTATATAAAAGTTCTATCTGTTAATTTCTAGTAACTTGCTATGAAAAATTTATATTAATTTTATAATTTAGTATAACTTGTGTCTGTTATGAATCTTAAATTTTAGTCGATCCATACATGATCCGTACAGAAAAATATACTTTTTTGATTTAAACATTGATGAGGTGAGGTGCATTATGACATTCATTATCATGAAAGAACGCTTTTCACTTATTACAATATTATATATAGCTACCTATATGTACATAAAATTCGCTATACTCAAAATTGATGCTTTATCCGAAGTCGTTATTACCGAAAGAATTTCTTGCGAAAATATGCTCTAATACAATGGACCTAAGTTTTAAGTCGCTATGAATAAGATTTACTGACGTCGTAATATATGAAATCAACTTACAAGATTTAATAACGAAAAACTGCTAACGCTACGTATGTAGTGGGACGATTACGTCTTTAGTATAACTTGGATTAAGCATACTAGTTGTAATGACCCTTTAAAAGCAAGCGGTGTTTTGATTCTTAAAGTAGTCAAATTTATAAACCTAGTAATTTTTTTATCTACTTCAACGAATAGTTTATAATATAACATATGTATAGACATTGACAGTAGTATGTTCGACTTAATTATAAGAATTGTTGTTCAGACAAAAACGTAGGAAACGTCCTGTTATATATTAATTTCATTTACAATGAAACTGTAATTCAATGTTAATCAATTTAAGTTAATGAAATAAGGTTTATACCTTGTTACTGTAATGAATTCGTCAGTCCCACTCAATATATATTATTATCGTTGAGGTAAACAGCAAACCGCTTGAGGCTTCGCCCGATTCTCTTTAGAGGTACATTGTTCCGTTTATCATGAGTTTTAACAACATTGAGTATTAAATAGGTACGTTAGGTCTTTAAAGAATTGTGTGTATATTCTTGTAAGTAAACAATAAAAAGCGCTTGGTGAAGCTTCAATTATTTGTTAAAATTAAAATCAAAACAAACTACATTCTAGAGATCGCAGGTTCAAAGCCAGTTGGTGTAATTGAAGTATTGTTTGAACATTGCTTAATGTTACGAACATTCTTACTAGTTAACTGAAGCGTCTTCATATATATAGTTACTCGAAGTAATTTATTTCTTTCTCTCCCTTTATTTATCCACCCATCTATATATATACCTATTTATATATACATATTTACAGCTAGCCTCGTCTTGTAATTGTATAAAATTCAAATGAACACGCCACAGTCTGTGACAATCCCATTATATCCTCTTACACAACTAACTGATCAATTATACCAATTAATTACCTATTCAGTACCAGCAGACGACAAAATAAACCAGCCGTTAAAGACGTCAAGGTGAATACAATCATTAACTGAATGTAGACAATGAATATAAGTGAAATAAACACTGGAATGGTTTGTACCGAAACAGTCAGTCAGTCAGTTTGTGTTTCGTTCACTACGGACAGGTGATTCACATGACATCACAGCTGCAGATATATCTTAAGATATATTGGAATTATATACAACTATTGTATATCATGTATAATTTAAAACTTACTGACACTTTTATATATATAATATGTGTAGTGACAGATTATAAACAATTTTATTATTTATTAAAGTTTGTCCCTACTATGGCTATGATTTTACAAATTGTCTTATTTTTGCTTTTATCGTTTGTGATTATAATGTTTATTGATTGTTACTAAATCTTATTGTTTTTTATTTAAATTATCATAATATATTTTTCCCCTTTTATTATACATGTTCCTTGTTTTATGAAATAAAATTTATTTGCATATAATTAACAGTCATATCGATTTGTTGAGAATCGTATATTGAAATAATCTAAATATAAAGGGAACAACTTGTTAAAATGGGAAATATTATGTAATTTTAACAAGTAAAAAGCTTAGGAGTACTGATTGGAGATAATATGTATTATCGTAAACTAACTGTTACGGTGTAAAGAGAGTCGAGTGATAATACATGTGTGTGTGTGTGTGTGTGTTTGTATGTAGGTTCGTGTACCTTATAAACTCGCCGTCACTACGGGTGGCCCGTCCCGAGCTCTCCGCGCAGGGCCGGTCTAAGTTTAATTATTATTGTTACTTTATACACGGACCACTGAGAATGTGCACAGATATGCGAGCTTACGACGTAAACCCATTACAATATATCATACAAGAGTCTCGTTAGGGATGATTCATGCTACGGAGATGTATGGACGATTGTCCTGCAACTGATTTTGATATATATGTATTATTTTATCAATTATAAACCAAATAGCTTTCCGCCGGCAGCTTCGCCCGCGTGGAGTTCGGTTATAAGGCGTTTCCAAGAGAACCTTTCAAAAGTCTGGGATAAAAACGATCCTGTTCTTTCTCAAGGTCAACTCTATCTCTGTACCAAATTTCTTCAAAATCAGTTGAGTGGTTTAGGTGTGAAAGCGTAACAGACAGACAGAGTTACTCTCGCATTTATAATATTAGTAGGGATATTATAACATTGACAACTCCATGACATGTTCATGTTCAAATTGTTGCTAAGTTATTAATTTTAATAATCGCGATAAGTGAAACAGTATAATCTTTATCGGAGACATTGCTCTGTGAGGTTTTATTGATTCTTAATATACATTTTAGTGAGTGACGTATACCTGTTACGTAGAGATTAAATAGTTTTATACCTAGAAAATTTTATTTATCTTTAAGATCTTTATCAAGGCCTATAATAATAATATGAACTATATTTACTATACTTAAAGAATATTTTATATAATTTATCTATA